CCTTTCTGGTGAAGATATGAAAATAATACTGCAAACTGTTGATACGACTTGCTATATGGAATACAAATAAAGGATGGTAGTTTTATTAACTACCATGAATAATGATCACCGAGATTCCCAAAGGTGTCTTGTTCGATCAAATCTCGAATCGTTATCTGAAGAGAATTGACAATTTTCACTGTAATTATATTTACATGTATTCTTAATGTGGAGTCCGAAGTTGTTTGCAACTTGCCATAGGAAACACTGATTACGTCAGAAGCAGACAGCTTAAGGTTAATCAGATAGTATCAGCATTGACGGCGAGCGAATGGTATTACTTGATGTATGGGGAAAAGGTTCAGTGATTCTTAGTTATCAAAAAATTAAAAACAATTCTCTATTATCGTGTCAAGAAAATATAACATTTATTTTCGCATTAAATACCACTTTCTCCGATGTATTCCCGAGTTACAGGAACAGTTTAGCTTAAACACAACGTCCGTCACGATGAAGGAAAGATTAAACAGACCAGATAAGAGTGATTTATCTCCCCTTTGTACTAGTTGGTTGCGTAACATATCCTGAATAGTCATCAACAGGTAAGCCAATTGGATCATACTCTTCGTGATAACAAGCAATTTCTTTTGATGCTTTATCATCATAGTGGCATTTAAATTGTCTATTGGCATGCCTTCTCCTCTGTTAATTATATGTACTGCCCAGTGTTCGATTTTCTTCCATTTGCCTCTCTGTTAAACGAAACCTGACTTGAACGCTGATGTACGTGTAAATATCCTGCTTAAAAATCATTTTGATATTAAAAACTAGATATATGTCCATAAGACATGCATGCTCCGCCCAATGGTACATATGTTTTACAACATGAGAAGAAATGTTCTTTTTTAATCTTAGATAACAGTAAAATATGATAAAAAGAGAATAGTTTTCACAGTTATTCATATAAAGAACTTGTACCTTTAGTTAAGGAATATAACGCTATAAGGAATATAATACCATCGGGAAAGTACAGAGTAAACAATAGGTTGTGATCGAGATAAAAAGTCAACTTCTTTCAATGAAAGAAGAGCAGACATTAAGTTTTATAACATAATAATTCGTAAATAACAGGTACATGTATTGTATAAACCGTCACGGTAGCTCATTCGGTAGAGCGCTTGCTCCGTGATCGGAAGGTCGTTCGTTCGAGCCCCGGCGGCTATTGACCTAAGTCGATAAAAAATAAGCAACAACTGTTCCTTCGCCAAGCACTTTGAAGTTAAAGTTGCGGGTCCTTCGGATGAGACCTTAAAAACCGAGGCCCCTTAGGCTTGGCACGATAACGAGAAGTGGTGTAAATCAGATGTGGATATTAAAAAATTCAAAGGATCTTTTGGAACATTTGAAATCACCACAAAAGTATACCAAAATTAACAACATAAAAACTTACAACTTTTCAAATGTACGAGGGTAAAATCGTGGACAAAAGCGTTTTTCTCTAAAAATAATTGGCGTACTAAGCTGAAATTTTCAGCAAATGTTTATTTATCATATTTAAGTGCATCTTAATTTTTTTGATAAAATATAGACAAAAATAAAGATTTTGTTTTGCTTGAATGTGCACAGGGTACGGTCCTACGGCGCACGATCAAAAAACCAGGGTTTCATTAGCGAATACTTGAGTATTATTTCGAAATAAAAGTATTAAATAGATAAGGTTGGGGTAAAAAATTATCCATTTTTAATCCACTCTGTATTATGTTCTCTTTTGTAAAATTTCAACGCATTTTCTTAATTTTTGGCAGTTTCCCGAGCATTTGAAATGGGAAAGTGGTAAACGCAACACACGAAAAATGACGACGTTTGGTGAAGTTACGGCGCACCGGAGAGCAGTTCAGTTTGATTTAGATGTAGTAATGACGCCCTAAGAAACTTTAAATGACTACAGAAGAAAAAAATATAAAAATATCACTAGATCTTTAGAATACAAGTGAAATGGGAGTTTTCTAAGCGGAGGCTTTTTGATCGGGTCCCCGGGTAGAAAAAAACATACGGACAAACAGCTACATGCACTGGCAATAGCGAAAGACGCTGTTACTATAGACCGTCGATATAGGATTTAGTTGAATGATAGTGAGAGTACTATCCATAACTTACTAATAAATCTTCAGAAGGCCCCATGTGTGTGCGAGATTGGTTCCTCGACTGTTTATGGAGGAATAAAGGGAAACTCAAGTATGTGCATCAATGAAATTCCCGAATTTAAGTGGGGCTTATCCAACTTTTTTTAGCAAAGAGGAAACGTGAGGCTGCTTTAAACACTTTGACGTTATCATCCGTGCGCCGTAAGGCGATACAACACATAACATAAAGTCTCATATTTTGTTTATTTGAGCATATATCTATTTGAAATTTGCTATGTATATTGATGAAAAATGTACTAAAAAGTAGTGAAAATTTTAGAACGCAGTGATGATTATTTTTCACTCTAGACAACTTGTCCACGATTTTAACGGACAACCCTCGTATATACAACTATTCCCCACGATAAATTAAAGTCCAGATTTTCTTACATCGTTGACAGCTGCTTTTTCAATGTAGATGGAACTCTTAAATTTACTCAACTTCTCATTGGTCATTTGCAAAATTACTTTGTCAAAAAACAATCTGATTGTACACTCAAGTACTCTGAAGTTGATATTAAAAAGATGCTCAAGTTTCTGATTGACAATATCTATGTGATTTTTGGAGACCAGGTCTTCCAACAATCTATTGGAATTCCCATGGGTACCAATTGCGCCCCGTTATTAGCAGACCTATTGTTGTATTCATATGAAGCAGAATTTGTTCTAAATCTTTTACGAGAAAAAGAAGGAAACACTTGCTGTGGCCTTCAACTCGACATTTAGATATATCGACGACGTATTGTCATTTAAGGTTTTGCCAAAGGTCAAGATGTCCAAAAATTTATTTTTAGAATAGCTCCAAAACTATGTGAGGTATAAGGTTAAAGTTTTACAGTTTATAAATATATCATTAATTAACAGATAGAAAGTATCACTTGAAAACAAATACTTTTTTAAAAAAATCTTTTTTGGAAAACAAATTTGCATATTTTAAATAAAATGCACCAGGTTAATTCTGTTTTTTTTTTTTTAGTGAAAATCATCATTGCAGAAATAAAATATGTTTATCAATGAAGGGCAAGTTGGACGTGAATGGTCTCTGAAAGGCTGTTATTGAAAGCATAACATGTATAAAGACAAGACCCCTATAAAATCCGCCATCTGCAATGTACTTTCGGTTTCAAATCTTAACATTTGAACAAAATAAACAGGGAAAACAACTTTCCAAAGGCTCCAACTTGCCCTTCATCGATAAACATATAATATTTCTGCAACGATGGCTTTAACTAAAAGTACGGAATTAATTAGGTGTATTTTTAAAAAAATATATGCATTTTTTTTAAAGAACTTTTTGCACAGACAACGATGCGCTAATTCATGAATACCGCTAAGAAATAATTTATAAATACAATATACGGCACGGACATGTATAGCGCTAATTCATGATTTCGCCAACAACTCCACACCCAGTGATTGCGCTAAATTTTGAATACTCCAATTTAAGTACACATACAGTATACCCTTATCACCTGCATACGGAGTTTATATCTCTCAGTTGATTCGATACGCCAGTGCATGCTCTACGTATGAACAATTTCTAAAACGAGGCAAGTTATTGACAAACAATTTGATGAAATAAGAATATCAGCAGTCTCGTTTAAAGTCATCATTTCGCAAGTTCTATCGTCGATACAATGACCTTGTCAACAAATATAATCTATCATTAGGCCAAAAAAAAATCCGTTTCCTGTCCACTGACCAAAAAAAAAAAAAAAAAGAAAAAAAGGGGGGGTAGGTGGGTAGGAAAAAAAATTTATTTCAGAAAAAAAAATATTTTCGAAATTGATGTATGCAGAACACATTATAAAAAGAAAGCCATATATTCTCAGTGTACAAAGCAAGTTTGTTAAAGCTGAACACGATTCATTAAAGAATTTGTCCACCATATTCGATTAAAGTTGAACTTCAGTATCTCAAATACTTATTATTACCCACGATATCTCGAACCCTTGGATATCTCAAAGTTTTTATTCGGTCCCATCGAGTTCGAGATAACGAGGTTTGACTGTACTCACACAGCACTCGGTAGCAACAAAAAATAACTACTTCTTTACGGCAGGAGAGAAAGATACCAAAGAAACGTACAACAGTTGCACAGGTCAATGCAGTATACAAACACAAATACATGTTTAATACTGCAATAAAATGTAAACAAAGGTATTGTAAGATAACCAGCACAAACATGTGTTGCCATTCCACGCCGATACCCAGGACAATAAAGCAGTCAGGTGTAATGAATGCAAAGGGTATATCCCTGTGCTGATATCATAGATAGTATAATCGAATATGGCATATGCCTATTTGCGAGTCGTGTTCAGCTTTAGTGCCATTTTGGAAAATTTTTAATCTTTTAAATAATTAAATTTTTCCAAAAGGCCTCTGTGTAATGATGTCTTTTCCCGGCAAGATGCAGCTTTCGCAGATAGGAAGTACAGTCTTGAATCTCTGAAGAAGCTCTTGTTTCACCTCCCCTCTCCACAACAATATGAACACAAATTTGCATGCCCAAGACCACTCCTATAGTAGGCCAACTCAAGAGGACTTTCGCAAGTTATGTTGGATCTAGCCATCACAGATTTATACAGTGGATTGGACGGTGGCAGTAGAGGTGAGCCACATGTGTAATCAAGCTCGTTAAGTCCACATACAATAGAATACTGTTGTCTCTCTGTTAACTTGTGTTTTGAATAGATTACTCTGGGTTTTCTGCATTCCACACACTCTACAAGTGACCTGGCATTCTGTACAGTACATAGACTGTACAGTACATAGCATTCTTGGCCATCTGTAGATTCCTCTTGATTTGCAGTGTTGACTATTGTATTCTCAGTGGAGTCAAGAGGGACTAGTTTCTTTTTTTTCTCCTTCAAAAGTTTCCTGCCCTCTAACCTCTGAGTAAGGAAGGTTATGATCACCTGTAGCATCCAACTGGGGGTCTGGCAGCCATGAGGGTAAAGGACTTTTAGGGGGAATGTAACAAGATACATCCTCACAATTCTTGATTTGAAAAACGTACTGTGTACATTTACAGTGTCTGTCCAACCAAGCTTGGTATGACTTAACTTTTTCCGTATGTGTCTTCTGTAATTTGGTCAAGTCCATGTCTGGGAGCAGTTCTCTTAGGTGTCGTTTCAGTACCTCAATATCTTGGTCACTAAGAGGATCCAAGACCTGGATCGGCTCATCTTTGAGCTTCAGTCTGATAAATCTGTTCTGGATAGTTCTTTTAACTTCCTCGAGTGATTCTGTCCACGCTTCTCTTACTCCCAAGTTTGGATTTTCTTCATGAAATGTCCTGATTTCTGCCATGCTATTCTTGTTTTTCAAACCATCTTCAATCTTCTTCTCACACGGTTTCCTTTCTAAAGATACATTTTGCAGCCCTAGATTTAAAATACTCATCACTCTTTCTGCGAGATATGTCCTGTTGCACAGCGAGCATAGATCAAGAGGTCCAAGTTAAACTCCTTAAACTAGAAGATGTTTGCCAACTTAACAGCTTCAGGTGTGTTTCTTTGATCTACACCACCGTCTGTGAACTTTAACAGTATTGGCTTCAGATTTTCTGAATTCTGCATCATCTTGAAAAGGAATGCTACATGTCGAAAAGCAGAAGCAGGCTGAAAAATGGAATCATTCAGCACAGTAAAAGCTTTTTCACGGACAAAAGACTTGTCGACACTTTTTGGCACTTGGCATTGTAGTACAACTGATGGTATGAGGGAACACCGAGTCATATCATGATCAAGGGCAACAAGGGTACTGGCAGTAGGCACTATTGATTTTTCCCCCTCACTCCTGTTGATACTGCTGCACATGGATCACCAATTGGTACTTTTGCCTTATCATCGCAGCACACCATCATGCATCGTTCAGCTTCCTCTACAGCAAACGACTTCAAATACTTCAACTGAGCATTACAGAAATGGCTGTCAGGATGAGGTGTGCGCAGTTGTCTTCTTTGAATTTTAAATTGTACATTCAAACGAGAAGTAAAATTCAAAGCCCCTTGGCAATATAGATTTCTTGGCGCAAACTGTAGTTTTACAAGACTTGCTGAAGGAACAAGGATGCCAGGTGGACAAGTAGATACTGCTCTTTGGGTCATGTCTGATACTGAAATGAGTTCACTGAGATGAGCATCGCCGTGTCCCCTGTCATCAGCAGCTGTTATATTCTCAAGTACTTTTTGAAGTTTTTCAAAAAAACACATCAAACTCTGTGTTAGGTCTTCCTGGATTTGGATGCCTCAGATCAGCAATTAAATTTGTATGGCCTAATGAAATAAGACGTAAACGCTCTTGCATAGCTGATTAGTAGTTTGGCTGCCATCAAAAGTCAACTCCTTGTATATGTAATCCACAACAGATGGTGACAAGGAAGTGATGTTGTTAATCTTCTCTTTGAATGCTTTTTTCATCTCTCGGGTGTGAAATTCCTGCATTTCAGATCTTGCTGTCTGTAACAATCTGGCACCCTGAACTAATATCTGTGACTCTGTGCGGTTCTCTGATGTCTTTGAGATTATGAATGAGCTGTTGTGGATCCACCTGGACTGAATTTTAGAATGTCCACTGGAACAGACAACTGAAGATACTTAAGAAATCGGTATTTCTGCTTCGAGTCTATAAATGGTTCATGAACGTTCTTTTTCATTAAAAAACAAAATATCTCCAACTTCTTTTCCTTTCATGACAAGCTAATTCGAACAAATACTGCCAAATCCGGACAAACCATTCCGGACAAAAATAACCTAAGTGAACTTAACTGTAAGAACTACTCTGGACATCCGAACAAACAATCCGGACAACTATTAAAATATAAACGTGAAATAAACTATCAAATAAACTTCTATACTTGGCAACGACTGACTCATAGAAATGTTCCAGTCATAAGTCCTAATTAATAACTCGAACTGTAAACAAATAAACTACTGGTCTACATGACTGGAATAATCTCTATATTCTTAAAACTGTCCTGTCCGGACGCGCAAGTCCTTATAAAAATTAGCATCATCCACTACAAGATTTATCATCTTGAATACCTTGGACTTTCTCTTAGGATCTAGTTCTAACCAAACAACCCAAAGGGATGAAGAGTCGAGAGTGTCGAGATGCTGAAGCTGGGTCCTATATATAACCTTGTATGACCAATCAGCGTTTGTCCTTTTTGTCCGGAAAATTTATACCCAATCCAAACGCTGTACGGATCTATGGAAATTCCGAACAATTCCCGATATCCGGACAAACTGAATTAATACCCTTAATAATCATTTAATGAACAATACAATACCCTGTCCGGATTACTTTAATTATATGGACACTAAATAATGTAATTAGTTTAATAAATGAAAATATCCAGGACTACGTAGTTTTACTATAAAATTCAATATTCGAATCTAGGCGCCTTCTAAAGTAGTGCGCGCAGCGATATATGTAAATACGGAAGTGTGACTTCCCAACATAGTGCACCGATGAGATCGATAAAATAAGACAATAGTTCACCATCATAAGGTAAAAAAAAATAGACAAAAATAGTGGTCAGCATCATATTACAATAATTCAAAATAAAAATAATGTAAAACACGGTTAAATAATGAAAAATCAGGCAGCAGAATCACAAGTGACAAGATGAGTAGTGAAGCGGTCAGTCCGACGAGAGAAACACATGGTAAAGTACACAAGAAGTACGCGAGCGGTAAAATGACGATTTCACATAGATGAAGGTAAAAGAATGCGCTAGTACTGAACATACATCAACAACTGGCAATTATAAACAGCTGTAGTTTAATTAAAAGGGTTATCTTACCGTATTTACGAAGAATTTAGAGAATAAATTTTGTAAACAGACGATCGAAAATGGGGATGTTGTCAAAACACGAACGGTTAAACTGCAAATTTTGTAAAACAAATCCGAGTTAAAATAAGGAATAATAAATGCTGTTTAAGCTTCATAAATCACTTGAGAATCATGTACTATGATTATAGTAAATTCCCATCCAGAATAAATTAATTGTATACAATATAAGAGTTAGCACATGAAGGTCTCACATATTACACCACCCCCACTTAAAAAATACAAAATTCTCCTGAATTTTAGAATTAAAAAAAATATTTAAAATAGCCTTACAGGAACATTCCTTTTCTTAATCTGATCAATGATAGTATCAAGTCTTTTTGTTCTCTTCAAGCAAGCTGATTCCATCATACATAGAAAATCCTCGTCATCTGCATTCCTTGCCCCCTTCACAGCGATGGCACTGAGTTTCTTATAATTATAGAACCTTAGCTTTCTGTCTACTTCATCATCAGATGACATGGACGATTTGGCGGATCCGGGCAAACACAACAATTATACCTTGAGAGAAGATGTGCACTGGAGAAGGAGATGCTTTCTGCTGACAGAACGCCATTGGTCTCTGAAACTGAAACTGATTTATTTGATTAAACGCCTATTTTTACACAAACGTATTCAATGGCGTTGTACAGTAAAACTGTATTAAAAAAAAATAAATAAAAAATTACATATTATGTACAAATATACATGGAGAGTAATCGTTAAAATAAAGCATCAAAGTCCCTAAAGAAGTAATTTTTTAAGTTGTTTTTGAAATCATCAATAGATTTTGATTGTTTGATATACAAAGGCAGTTCATTCCACAATTTTGGTCCGATGGTACTAAAACTCCTGTCGCTGAAAGTTTTTCTTTTATTAAATGGGACTATGTAACAGCTTCCGGAATTTCGGGAAGAGCGCAATTTTTGATTTGAAGTTTGTTTTGACAGTAGTTCAATTAAATATTCTGGTGCTTGGCCCACTGAACAATTATACATGAATGTCAGAATCTTGAATGATATTCTAGTTTTCTAGATATTCTAGTATTCTAGCTGAAGCGCTGCAAATTCCCATGGTTGCAGTTTCTGATCTGGGGTGAATGCCTCCCAGTCGGCAGATTCTTCTTCTGTGGTGGATTGTGGCAAAAATGATGATGTTGGTGATGCAGAAGAGGGTGCAGACAACGATAAAGAAGGGTGACTGAGTTCATTGGGCTGGCTGGGTGTAAGGACTGTCTGGTCAGCTATGGCTTCAGTAATACATGTAGGTTGATCTGAACGGAGAATTCCACTACTCAGTGCAACTAGTGGTTTTAGGCACTAAAATAGCTGATGCATTAAGATTTCGAATACAGAACAAGCCACACAAGGTCTGAACAAGCAGGTCAACAGGAAGTGAGTGACATTGTAGTTAATTCATACCAAAAAACGTTACAAAATCATAGTAGTTACGTTGTACCAAGGATATACCATGTAAGATTTCAACAACAATAATAACAAGAAAACATTGAAGTTCCCATCAATTTGTCGCCCGGGAAATAAATGAAGTAAAATCTTGATCGTCAAACCGCTTCGATTTGTGTAATAAAGGCATACGTCTGAATGATTGAGACTATAGTCGAGAAGATTTACGAAAACTTAAAGCCTCTTATCGGATGAAAATCGAACAAAAACGATACCGTTTTAACTTTTTCATTTCCTCAAGTAACTGTTGGCTGCATAAAATATAAATCAGAGTCAGACACGTATCACCTATCATCAGAAATACACTTGACTTCATGAATATAAAACACAAACTGTGTAACGTACGTTTTTATGCGATAAGTAAAATTTAATGTTCTAAATAAGGGACCTGTCTTTTGTCGATAGCAAATAAAAAGCAATTTTGTATATTACATATGAAAACATATATTTTTAAAGATGTACTTCATGGAAGTAAATATATTGTGTATCTCGTAAATTATAAAGGGAAAGAACATTCTGAATATGCATAATCTTTTTAATGTATAGTTTAATTCTAAATAGCTTCTCCCACCTCAATCCCATACACCAAAACTTAAACTTGTATGTATAGAGCAGCCCGGTCCTCAGGGCTGCAATAATAGTCAACACAAGATAAATTCTCAATTTAGAAGCAGGCACCATATCATTGTTCGTCATAACTTTGCATCTAGTTTATCTGCTAAGTTTATAGGGGGAGAAAATGTCAACAGAGCCCCGCCCTAACACCCAAACCTCTGACCCAGGGGCTATGAATTTCACAATTTGGATGAGGCTTAATGCTTATTGCAATCATACCACCTGTTTGACTGCCCTATATCCAGGATTAGAGAGGAGGATTTGCAAAGTGTATACATGTATTATGTATGATAGGCAAAAATGTCACTTTTTTAAATTGTCAAGTTCTTTCCTAATTAGGTAGTTGTGGATATAATTGTGGATAAAACCACGAAAAATGGTCTATATTTCGAAATGGTCCTCATTACAAATACAATCAAGAGAAGGTAACAAAATTTCATTTTGATTTTTCTTAGCATGGTACATAC